GCGGCGACGTCTCCTGAAAGGTTGGCTGGGGCGCGTAGTACAAACCCTGATCAGTTGATGAGCTCGGTGAGCCGGCTAGCACAAATCTGGCGATTCAGAGGGCATTACTGGACCGCTCTACCCCTGGAAGGAATCTGAGCCAGAGCTCCTCCAAAACCTAAACCACCTAATGTCGAACGCGCATTGTTCAACCTGGTAAATAAGGGGCTAGGTTCCCAAAAGCGAAGAATCCTCTTTCAATTGGGACACTCACATTTGGGGCCGGCTGATCCAAAGACTCAGCCCTGAGCAAGCACCAACTGCCTCGACTGGTGGACATCTTGAGCTCAAGGCCGGCTCACCAAAGCTCAACGTGAGCGACCAAGCACCGCAAGAGCAGCACGTGACACGAGACATAGCGCCAAGCATCGCAAGTCAGGCTCCAGAGAATCCACCAAGCAGCCGACAAAAAGAGAAGAGCGCGGCTGGTGTCTGCAACACTGGATGCCATTGCTGGACAACAAGATGGAGCAGCTTTCTTGTGGTGGGGAGGGAGGGGGGGGGAGGGGCCAAATTTGCTCTAATTAAAAGTTTGACAGATGCCTGATCCCCATAAAACCAGGAGGGTGGCGCGTCTTTTTCATGGCACCCCCTTTTCTGTGGTTTAAAGGGAAACCACAAAGAAAACCGAAACCATTTGGGGTCCAACCTTTAAGAACGAACCACACGGGTTCCGGCTAGGGAACGGAACCACCTTTGGGGGTTCCAACCTAAAAAACGATCCGCCTAAAACAGGCCTGGAACCACCACATTTAGAAGGTCCAAAAAAAACACTGAAACCACCAGTTGGAGGGTCCATTTGGGGGCTCCAACCAAAAAAGAAAAACGAACCACCTAACAGCAAGATGAGAATCAACGGAACCACCTTTCAAATATATATATATATGTATAAAAACACTGGAACCACCACATTTGGGGGGTCCGACCAAAACAATGGCACTACCTAAAAGCAAGATGAGACTCGTTGCCTCCCGCCTCCACAGCTTCAGCTCCCAGGTGTTCAATGCCGCCAGGCGCAGCGCGCGGGGAAATCTCTCGCCTGCGCGCTCTCGGCTTCGCCGGGGATCCGTCCATCCGAGACATGGCGCACGACCCCCCGAGAAACACCATCCGATGCATCCGATTTCTTCGAAAATCCCCCAAGGCCGCTTCTTTCCCAACATAAGGAACGGTCACGGAAAAGCTCTCCGATGTGGCGTCCAAGTTCTTCGAACATCGCGGCAAGACCGCTTCATTCCCAAGGAACTGTCATACGGAGCACCAGCGATGTTCGAAGCGGCAATCGCCCACTTTCGAGTTGAGGCGAAGGGCTGGAAACACCGTCACACTGGTGCCAGGTTCCTGTTGTGTGCTGCCGGATCTTGGTTGAAGCTGGCTAAGGCCGAAATGACAAGGTCACACTGACAGTGCAGAGGCTCTAGCTGCATATCGGCAAAAAGTCAGGCTTTGGGGCGTGCCACGTCGGATGGGTTACTTCTACTTTCCAAGTGGGAAACTGAACAAGCTGCACAAACCCATGAAGCTACACACAAGTCTTCCTTCCACACTGCTCGGAGCTCTTGGGATCTCCTTCTTTCGCCCTCCCTGCCTGGTCTTGAGGGCGCTGCCTCGGCCACTTGCTGGGTCGCGTCCTTTTGGTTTTACTGATGGATGGCAACCTGGCAACATGGAAATCTTTACCAGTGCCATCTATTTCTGATCAGACTCACCTAAAAAGGAGGAGTGATGATGATGTGCGCTGAAGATGCTGACGATGTTGTTGATGATGATGCTGATGGTGCTGGTGGCGATGCTGATGATGCTGGTGATGCTGATGATGCTGATGATGCTGATGATGCTGATGATGCTGATGATGTTGATGATGATGCTGATGATGACAATGATGATGATAATGCCGGTGATGATGATAATGATGATGATAATGCCGGTGATGATGCTGATGATGATGATGGTGATGATGATGCTGATGATGATGATGATAATGATGATGATGATGATGATGATAATGCCGATGGTGATGCTAATGATGATGATGATAATAATGATGATGATGCTGCTGATGATGATGATTAGAAGGATGCTGATTCCACTGCTCCGATTGATGACTCAGAACTGATGACTGACGACTGATGATGATTGATGATGAATGACGATGACTGATGGTGACTGACGATGACTGATGGTGACTGATGATGACTGATGACGATGATGATGGTGGTGATGAAGCATCTGATGCCTAGTTCTTTTGGCGGCACTGTTGCAACATCATGCAGTGTGTTGTTGTTGTTTTTTGTTGTTTCTGATGTCAAGGGGATAGTGTTGGTAAATTAAGGAGTCCACTCAAAATCATCAGAAGAGTCACATGAGCAGATGTGCACGCGCCTTCTTCTGCTCGGGACTGAGCCCAATTCTTCATCTACAAGTTAGCCATTCAGTTCTGCTTGCTGTGTGCAGCCCAAGTTGGGTCCAATGCCACCTGAGTCACAATCAAAACCGATCGGTGCTAAAATGGTCTGCCCAGAACCATGTAAGGAATTAAGAAGGCGGCATCTACCCAGGTCTTGAGCACCTGGCTCACCTTCCAATTCCCCAGAGCCGTGTTTCTATTGTCACAGTTCGCCGAAAAACGAGAAAATCATTTGTCGTCCCAGACGACTATCGACCTACCCTCACTCCGACTAACATGGCACCTGCCAGAGGGTCCCTACAAGAAAATTATCTTCCAGGTACCCACAGGTGCTATGTTAGTGGGAGGGAAGGGTACAAACTCAGACCCACGGCACACCCACAAACCCAAGAACAGTGAGTACAAACCCAACGCTACCCATCTTCCAAGTACCCCACAAACCCACGGAAACTCGCCGAGGCTTGGGCCAGCCGCTCACAGGCGCCGCCCAGGGCGGTTTGGCGCCCGGACCTTCAGCCAGAAATGCCGAAGCCTTCCGCTGGATTTTTTGAAAACGAGAGGAAAGCGGAAGAAAGGTGGAAAGTTACCCTTCAGAAAATCAAACCATGAGTTTAACTACCATGTCATGGATTCATGAGTTGAACAACTAGGAGAAAGCGATGGAAAAACCAAGGTTTCAGTGGCATGGTTGGGAATGTCCACTAAAATGCGAACTTGTACTGTCAGGATATCAACCAAGATGGGGCTGCGCGTAAACCAATCAAACATGCGTTTGCCGTATCCAGATCTGCGCAATTGGAGCCACGGAGCACCGGAAGCATCCTTCGGCTCAGTGCCAAGACTTCGATGTTCGGGTGAAACCGTCTTGCTGACTGAGAAACACAAAGTAACCATCTATGTGTGTGTGTGTTGACTGATACGAGAGTTTCAATGCGGACTGCTTGGCTGACAGCATTGGATCTGCCAGAACTACAAACACTTGTACAGGCTCAAAACAAAAAAAGCCGAGCTGCCAAATTGGAGATGATGAGACAGAAAATAAGAAGCGAATGCAATGAGCTACAATCGCAACGAACAAGACTCGTGTTGCTCCGCGACTGACAAAAACTCATGCGCACTCCATGAGACGTCTCAAAGAGCGAGGTCAGGCAAGCAAGAAGTACGTGGCTTAGTGGGTGAGGACCAAGTAAGTGAAACTACTAATTGGTTGGTGAGTTCACCAAGATTGGTGATTTCAATCAGGGGATTATGTTCACCTACTCACTTCACCTAGTAGTTCGCTTTGCTGAACATACCCCCCAATTCGCTGCATCACCTACTTACCCGACGCGGTTTCAACACATCCAAGCACACACGTGTGCACAGGAGCTCAAAACGATGCCTTGGACCTCCGTCCTTTCGGCCACAAGAGCCTTTGCCGGAGGTTTCCGAGCGTCCAGAAACTCCATCCCTGTCACATTCCTCATGTTTTTTCCCCAACAGCTGACAGCTGGGGGGTCTCAGCCCAGATAGGCTCCGGGGTCCGGGGCGGCCCTGAGGTAAGGTTTTATCAGGGTTCCGCCAGGGTTCCACTAGGCCTAAAAAGAGCACCGCATGCTGTTGGGGATATCACCAGAGCTAATTTTGTCCATGGGATCCCAAGCCAGGCGCCGGGTCAGAGCCTATGGTGTGTTCCTTCGAGCCCGTGTCTGGAACGTCGCGGTCGGCGGCATTGCGAGTGGGCGCTTAGACTGAAAATTCAGGGTTTTAAGGACTTACCTTGAGGCAAACACGGGTAGAATTGGTGGAACCTTGGGATCTTTTTGGAAGATCTTGGGAGAACCGGTGACCTTTGGTGATGGCGCTGAGGCCCACATTTTGCACCCAAGCCTTACCCCTTTTGGCAAAAATCCACCCATGAGTTTAACTACCACGTCCGAGGCTCCGAGCCCGGCTTTTTCCCAACCACCAGCGAGTGAAGTCTGGGTCTTCCCATGGATTTTGTCTAGGTTTTCCAGATTTGAGAGCTTAGAATAAGGGTACCAAGTTTTTTCCTGTACTCGATTTTAGTAGAACCCTCCCAACCAAAAAAGTTGGTGAGAAAGGGCATTCCCCTAGTTGTTGGACTCTGAGCCTTCGGGCCAAAGGTCCATGAGGTAAAGCTCTTTCCCGGCCAGCGCGCAATGGCGCCCGTCCTGGCAAAAGAAAAAAACCCAGCGTTGGTGCCTGGAAGCCTCAAAAGGGGAGGCGGCGGCTTGGGCCTTTGCTTTTCGTAAACCAAAAGGAGACCTCAAAATATGGCACATGCCGATGTGGTGAAAAACCTTCTGTGGATCCTCTTTTTTCTCGAATGGCACTGGGAATCTCTGGTGGTGTCCCAAAGGACGGACGCAAACACAAATCAGGAACCCATTTGTATGGGTGAAGGAAGCCAAAGGGATCCAGTTTGCATGGTGCCTCTGGTGACCGTGCAGAGTCAAAAAGACAGCACCGGCAAAATCTGCAGGGCGATTCACTTGCGGTCCACTCAAGCGGGGAACCTCCTTGGAACCAATTTTCATGTGCCTTTTGGCCACTAGTTCTGTGGAATCACGGGTAAGCCCTGGCTGCTTTTGCCGTAGCCCAGGTAGGTTAAAACGGTACGTGGGTGGCTCGCCTCCTTTTTTGTGGCCCTTTTTGGGGTTGGTGTAAAAGGGGAAACCTCAAAGAATTCTATTTTGGGGGATCCTTTAAAAATTTGACGAACCTATATATCCTTCCGTAATTCCTGTAGTATGTCCCATAGGTTGGCAATTCAAGGAGAAGAAAGTCTGATTGCACAGTTTCACTGGAATCTTTGGAGTCAAGAAAACCATCAGAAACGCTTCCAAGGAAACTGTCATAGCCGGAGCTTGGCGCTTGAACCCCGCTCGGGATTTGAATCGGGTGTTTAAGTACACAACCCTTTTGCATACTCCTTGGGTAAATGACCCCGAAAAGCTTGCTGACATACCCCCTCAACAAAGGGAGTATATAGATCTGATTCTTTGGGTGGCAACCAGGAAAGCCAAGGGGTATGAGCAAGGGGTAAGTACTTCCAGCCTTGGATTGAAGAAAGGACAACGCTTTTGACGCCCCGTTGACAAATCGGAACCCCTAGACTCATGATCCAGACATCAGGCATCATATCTTTTGTCTAATGTTGAGCCTGGATTTAGCAGCGCCCCTATTTATTAATATGGGGGCCCCCACCCCCTCCAAGAGCGATATAAATCCCCACTAAAACCCGGCCCATAAAAAATGAAACAGAGGCTCTGCTTCCGGGGTCAACATGATTTTTGCATTTCGGCGTACCCATGTTGGCGTTCAAGGGAAACCAAACCTGGAAATAGGCCGCGGGCTCCATTGCCTCCAGCACGGCGAGCAGAGTGGCCGAAGCGTCCTCATCGCAAGCGAACCTCGTTTCCGCAAAATGGGTTTAGGGTTTAGGTGAAGTCAACTTAGGCGGGGGAACGAAAGCTAGCCAGCCCAACGACTTCATGTACTCAGGAGTTGCTAGGATACATGAGGATTGAACTCAAACAATGGTTTGTTCAAATAGTATGTGCAAGCATGGTTTGGCCCACGCCGCTCGGAGCTCTTTCTCGCTCTCTTTCTCGTCCTGGTGTCCATTGTTCATCTTGGACACTGTTGAATCCGGAAACAACAAGAAACCTTGCGTAATGAATGTGCGAAGCCCAAAAAATGGCATACTCCAAGCAATTGGAAGTCCAAAGGTGATAAATCATACGTGACGACATTCCAAATCTGCCCTATCCCACCCAAACAAAAGGCAAGGAGTGAGACCCCACAACGGTGCCTATTGCAAAAACTGGAGGGTGAAAAAGAACAGGCCGGGGCCCCTTTTTTTGGCCCCATTTCATGGGTCTTTTATTGCCCCGCCTTCGGCGGTTCTTTTCATGTCCCCAATCTTGATCCCTGAAAGGTACCCTCCTTTCAACCACAAAGGGAAGTGCACATTTTGGGGTTCCCCAAAAGGAAAAAATCGTCTTCCAAAGCTCTCCTGTCAACTTCCATGATTGGTGAAAGGTATCTGGTGGGAAAGGCGCATTCTCCTGGGCTTCCAATGGCCTCCAAGGGCTTCGTGGGCTTTTGGTGTCTTGCGTTTTGCTTCTTCTTTTTTTCCTGGGGCGACGTTGGCAACCGTTTCTTTTCAATCTTGTTGTTGAGTGGGGCAACCCTTTGGTTTTTTTCTTCAAAACGCAAGCCGTACAGAAAACACCGGAAACAGACACATCCAAATGGAACTTCCAATCGTCTGCCACAGGACCGCCATGACGCCTAAAAGGGCGCATATGTTTGCTGCAAAGGACCTGGGGAATTTGAGCGAATCCCTCCTGCAGCGGCAGCACGGCTACGCAGCGGCCATCCTCTGCATCTGACAGCCTGCCATGCAAGCCGATGGCACTGTAAGGCATCGGGACCCGCACGCAGTACGCAGCGGAGCGGAGCCGTCCCGACCTCCAACTACCTCCAAGAAGCTTGAAGGAAAGGATCTGGGTGTGGGTTCAACATAGGTACCCAAAATGGAACCCTTATACCCATCTGGAAATCGGACAGACGCCCGGTCCGAAGGACATATTCCACCATATTTAAAACTCCTGTGGGTCGTGGTCATGATTCCCTTACTGAGAACCTTTGCATTGCTTGTCCCAAACCTCACCCGGAACCAGCTTGCACTTTCATCACGGTGCCCTTGTTTCCCTTAAGTGCGTTGTTGCCGGCGTCTCCACAAAGCATTGGACATCAAGGGCACTCGGTTTAATGGATCCCAAGAAAATGCAAAAGAGCCAGCCACATTCCTTCCATTCGCGCAGAGGCATAGGAAAGCACGTCACCGATTCTAGTTTCAGAGCAATCAATCGTCTCCAGGGTTCGGAACGGTTGGGATTCTCCCCGATACTAACTTGTACTATCAGGGTGTCAACTAAAATGGGGCTGTGCTATTAAACAAGCCTGAGTGATGATCACAGGAGAAGAATGCTACTTCCCTATTCTTTCCAGGGATCCTTCTTTTCAGAAAACCATCAGAACCCGAGGGGAAACAGCTGGTTTTTGAAAAGAATGATGGTTGAAAAGAATGGAAAAGGAATCAACCCCTAGACTCTTTCCAACAAAGTGGAGAGGAGGGTGTTGGTGGACCTCCCATCCCCTTGAAAAGGCACCAGTCGTCCACGTCCATGATCTTCGGAGAAGGGTAAGTCATGATTCGCCCGTGGTCGCAGCAAAAAGGGACATTATGACATTCCTTCATCCCTTGCTATGAGTTGGTCACTTGTGGGATATGGCTATGCGTCAAAACCCCGGTACCCCGGTGAACACCCAGAAAGCATCAGAAAGCCTTCTAAAAAGACAACAATGGTGGTAACCATCCCCATCTTGGGCACCTTAGGTTTTGACCCACCACCATATGTCCTAAATCCCTCTAAACTCTAGTCTGAAGATCTAAGAGTACGGAGCGACGGCCGAACCGACCCGACTGCCGCGACTGCGATTGGCCTGAGGCGACCCGGCAGCAGGGAGACCAGCAGTTGGCTCCCTGAGAGCCCGGCGGTAGCCTGACCCGTCAGTCGCGGTTTCCAGGTCGCAGGTCGCGTGTGGCTTCCAGTCGCGCCAGGGGCGCAGACGGAAACAAGACAGGTGTTTTTTTGCTTTTTTCTGGAGGGTAACCCTTTCATGGTGGGTTTAGAAGGAATCTTATCAGAAAAAAAACCGAAGCCACTTTGATCATCCCCGCTTTCGATCGCTTCCGAAGCCATTTGGTGGCTTCCCGCGGCATGGGGGAAGCGATGTCCATCGCTTCCCGCCGAAATGGCCACTGTAGCCAAGGGCATCTCGTCCAGTTTGATTTGGCCAGCCACTAAAATACACAACAATGGGTGGTGCACCTACCCCAAAATGGTATCCCCTTGGTTTTGACCCACAGCCATTTCTGAGACAACCAAGATCAACCCTCCAAAGCCCAAAGACTGATTTGTTGCTTCTTCCAAAAGGCTGATCCTGGTTGAATTCTCCATTCACCATGCCGTTGCCCCAAACTCATGGGCACATTGCAAGCCCATGATCCATGGGCCAGAGGTCTCTTTTTGCAGAGTGCACTCCCCAAAGTCTAAGAGTCAAGGAAACCAAACCCAGCAATTCTACCTTTGTATAGGAGTCCAAGGAGCTTCTGACTCTTATCCTGCAAACTAACCCCCGCTCCGGGTTTCCTTTTGGTTTCCCTTTCAAAAACCACACCCAGAGGCTCCCGATGTTTTTGGGGCCCTCAAACAGCCAGGTTTCGAGACCGGGTCCCAAACACCTCTGGGGTGTGTAGAGGGGTCGGGTCTTCCATTGAATGCCGAAGCCAGGAGCCTCTGGGCAAAACAAAACTCGGTTGCTTTCTGCTCCCCTGCTAAAAAGTGAATAAATTTTAGTGGTTTAATTCGGAAAACCCAGGAGTTGGCAAAAAAAGTTAAAGTCCTAACATCCCTTGGCAAAATGCACCTCTGAAAACCCCTGTGCAGGTTTTATGGATGGTTCTTGGGGTGTTACACCGTTCTCTGGGCAAAAAAATAATAAGAAAAAAAACACAAAAACAAAAAACAAAAAACAATACAAAAAAAAACACATATTAAAAAACGGAAAAAAGAGGAAGAAGAAAAAACACAGGGAGGCCTTCGGCCGAACGAAGTGTTCGGCGCTTCGGCTTCGGCTTCGGCTTCGGCCAAGCGGCCTCCAAGCTGCTGGGCGCGGCGCAGAAGCCCAGCGCCTTGACCTCCTCCGGGCCCAGCCATCCTCGCGCGAAAGCACAAGGCACAAAGCACAAGGTGGGTCGTGTCTGAAAATGAGCTTTGTGCTTTGTGCTTTGCGATTTGCGCTTTGTGCTTTGTGCTTTGTGCTGATTTTGATGATGATGATGATGATGACGATGACGATGATGATGATGATGATGATGAGGAGGATGAGGATGAGGATGAGGATGATGGCAAATCCATATTCCACAATCAGCCAAGGCCTCCAAGCTGTCATAACAAATGAGTCATAACAAATGAGTCAGCAACAACAGGGGATCATCATTCCAGGATGTTTTAGGTGCGAAATGGATGTTGTCCATCCACAGTATGTCCATTGACGTCAAAAAGGGCGTGGTATGGATATGGGTCAAAATTAAACCACCAGGAATTGGACCGCAGGTGTTAGTCCATGTTACCACTCAGAAGGTTCAATTTTGGGTACCTATGTTTGACCCACAGCCAAATGAGCCTCTAGTGGTGATGATGATGATGATGATGATGATGATGATGATGATGATGATGACGGTCCTCCAGTAGAGAGGGTAGAACAAAGGTACCAACTTTTTTCTGTAGCCTGTTTTAGTAGGGGAACCCTCCCAACCAAAAAAGGGCAAAAGGGCACTACCAAAAAAAACAAGAAGTCTATGGGGAAATCGAAGAAACGTTGAGCCCGTTTGAGATGGGCGAAGTCATGGACCTGCTTGGATGGAAACCCAATGAATGGGGCAAACCACCTACTGTGGATGGACGAAATCCTGCACCACTTTGAAACCATGTTGGTTGGTATTTACAGGGGAATCGTCATTCCAGGGTTTCTTAGGTGGTGCAAGATTTTGTCCACCCACAGTATAAACTGGTGCAGGAGTTCGTCCATCCACAGTATTGACGATGATGATGATGATGATGATGAGGAGGAGGAGGAGGGAGGAGGAGGACAACTTGGGGGTCCGACCCAGAAATAGCTCACCCCTAAATATGCATGATACTTTTCCACACCTTGCGGAAAGTCTCGGTAGCATGGGTTCAACGGTGCTCTTGGATGAACCCGTGGAGGTAAGCACCGGGCACGCGCGAAACGGTCTGGGCTGTGGCCCCAATCGAAAGCTTCACTTGGCTGTGGGTCAATGGAACCCTGGTAAGTGGCAACATGGACCAAAACCTGCGGTCCCCTGGTGGTTTAATTTTGACCCACACCCACTTCACTCCAGACTCTCGGTGAAAACTCGCCGCGGAGCCAAAGTCCACCTCTGGAAATCAATTGAATCAAAACCCGGTACTAAAATGGTCTACCCAGAACCATGTTTCAAGAATTAAGAAGGCGGATATCCGCAACTATTTCTGGCTGGGACTGCTCCTTATTAGCCTTCATCTACCCGAGTTTTGATTTGGTTGGTGTATCAAATCGTTTTAGTGGTTGTCCAACCAAGGGTCATCCCAGTAAAGGAACATTTGATCAACCCCCATTGTTTATCCATGGTTTCAAGGAATGAGGGCAAAGAGATCGCAGTTAAGAAGAAGCAGGATCGTTGGAACGAAGATGAGCGCTTCTCCATTTAGTTTCAGGGCTGTGGGAAATGGAATCCACTTCTGTGATACAACAAAAAGGGCTTCCCAAAGACGTTCAACCCCCATATGAAAAGGGGAGATTCCAACTTGCATCACAAAAGTGGTTGGATAAACCCATTGATCCCACAACCCTCCTGCTAAATGTGTTTTCAAACCAAGAAAACCGACACGTTTCATTCACACGTGCGTTCCATCCACACGTCCACCCCCGAAAGCCAGTGTGTGGAAAGCATAGCCTCTTCAGCTTCCCTCCCAACAACCCTCTTTAGAATTTTCTTGAACCAGCAGCTCGAACACCCAGGACTCACCGCTGTCACGTCTCTCCTGCCACTGTGAGGGCACTGGGCTCCACCTCTGGGGCGCAGCGGAAGAGCCAGACCTCAGCTGAGCGGGGTGCTCCTTGCCGCTTGCGCTTGCGTGGGAGCCTGGTGGAACCCGGTTTCCGCAAATATCGGATACGAGCGAAAAGCGTGAGATTCCAAGTCCAAATCGCAACCAAAGTCTGCAACTTCTGGCTTTTTCGGGACAAAACGTGGAAGTGCCCAGGACCCCTTCGTTCATGAGAGAGAGAGAGAGTGTAAGTTCTTGCAAACCTGACATTCCAAGTCCGAATCGCAACTGCCCCAAGTGTTCCACATCCCCTTTGCAAAATCTCATTTCTCTCCCTTGGCCACAGCTCGCCCCACCCCACCCCCACCCCCACAAAACCCCCCCACCAACCCCCCGCCTGCCCCGAGTGGCAGGCCACCGCACAGCGCCCCGCGCCCAGCGCCGTGCAGCGGATCTCGCATCCCTCGGCGCCTCGAACGCCGGGCAGCACGCAGGGCGCCCACAGCCGGGCCTGCGCCATGGCGCCATACAGCGCGCGCGTCAAACGCGCAAGCGCCTGCGAAACAAGCGAGCACCAAGCGAGGGTAAGTCGGCGAAGGCGGGGAACAAAACGGAAGTGAAAGGTGCGATTGGATATTTTTTGGGGAGTTCGAGTTTTCCTTTTGAAGGTTGACATGGTTTGTGTCTCTGTGGCAACGAGCCACCCATGTGTACGGGTGCCCGGAAATGAATGGATAGACTCAGTCTAGACAAGGTCACGTCATCTGGAATGGTACTGGGAACTTCACTTGAACAAAGCTGGCTCTCCGACCAACAAACCCTCCTCGCACATCGGATGCCGTATTCATAGCTAGGCGTGGTATCTCCTGTACGTGTGCTTGTGCCGGGCCAAGATAACAAGTTGAGGCTAAAAGGATGCGGCGGGTGAGACGAACTGTCCCATCACACGAACGCTGGCAAGGAACAATAGCATATGGGGTTGCCTCAAAAAGGGGGCCATGAAAACTGATCCTTTTGTTTCCCTTTAAAACTACCACAAAACGGGTACCATCAACACAAGACGAGCCGCCCATATCCAGCAATGCCAACTTTGGATATCCGAAGGGCATCCCTTTTGAGTAGGGGATTGATTCATCATGATTAGAGTTAGGCCCAGCTATAGAATGTATATCTTATTGTTTGCTTCACTTGAGTCACTGGTAAAATGTAAAATGTATCCTAAGTCCACCCCAGTCACGCGCTCCAAATTAATCCAAAGCTGATACCCGCCCCACGTTGCCATGGCAGAGGAATGGTCCCTTTCAAGTTGCAAGCAGTCCTCCAGGGCCCCGAACCTCAGGTTCCATGTGGAGGGACGGGTATTCTCTTTGCTTTCAGCTGGAAGAATCTCTCACCGAACTCTCCGAACTCTCTGGTCACTTGGATTGGCCAGGTGCTCGAGCGGACTGCCAGTTTTCCATTGAATCAGATCCGCCAGCCACGCGATGCTGCGCGCACCAGTCCGAGTGTTCTGAGCATTGACCCACATACATTCCTTTGGCAGGGATTGACTCAATTGAGCGCACGACTGCCCGATGACTTTTCCATTGTCAAATGGCTCTGTTGCCTCAATCCCTGCCAGCCTCAAATGTATGAAATCGAAGGTACACGACTGCTTTCAGAAAGATTCACGTAAGTGAGATGAGGTCCATGGAAACGCCCTAAAATACCCACACAAGGGATGCTAGTGTAGAATTTTTTGGATATCCAGACCGAATCAAATGAGTTTCTTTTTTGAGTAGACTGTTATAAAACAAGCAACAAAACGGCCACTGATTTTTGGATACTGGTGATTTTTGACCGAACCTCAATTGAAAGCAGCCGATCGAGCACCGACCGGCCCAGATGCCTTCTCCGAGCGCCTTTGTTCCTCTACCTTTAGAGCGACGTCATGTTTGCCGTGGGTCTGGAAAAGTCAGACATGCCCAGTCGTGTCGTGTGAAGATCAAACACGTTGGGTTGTTTAGCAACCAGGTGTAAACAGTGAGAAACATGATGTCGCCCTCCGTGAGGAGAAGAACTTTGGAGCGTTTGCCGCGTTCGTCAGCTGTGCTGAGTTGACTGGGTGCCCCGATTCCGAAAACGACGCGCAAGTCAGGGCGCTAAATTGCCCGTGTCCTGCAACCCAAAAGAAAACCAAAGGGGATGGTTGTTGTTGTATTTAGTCAGACTCCCAACATCCAATCGAAGTGCTATTTGACCACTCCGCTTCAGCTTTTGCGACCTGGAATTGCCAATTCTGCAACATGAAGATATTCTACAACCCTCGTCAAGAGACCCTTCGGCTTGGTCAACACAATAGCAAACCAGACTTGCCACGTCGCTTTCTAGAACTGTCCTGCATAAGGCGAAATCCTTGGCATCTTTGAAGATATCGAATTTGCCCAGCGGAAACTAAATGGAGTTGCCGTGGCGCTTGAATGCCAACCAGTTGCGAAGAGGCTTCACCGCTTCACCCAGCACAAGCTCACACGCAAAGCATGCCTTTGCATGCCGTCCGACGTGCTTCAGGCATCAGTCATGCCGTTCTGGATATGCTGGAGGAATCTCACCATGGTGTCCTCAAATTCGTCGCAAGCGTACCCAGAGCCTGTGTGGCCCCCAGGAAAGGCTGTGATTGAAGTATCGATGGGTTCCTTCGGTGTTTGTTCCTTTTGGCCCCTCTTTTTGCCAACACCCCCCAAAAAAATGGCGACTCCGAACAAACGACAAACACGTATTTCCGCACAAAAAGAGACAGACCCACATTTCACCCACCAAAAAGACTTTCATGGGTGGAGTGACTCGTCCCAAATTCAATCAGTTTCTGCAGCTTGCCCGGAATCGACTGTAGAGGGTCTCCCAGAAATTGAAGATGGTACCAAGAATGGGATTGACTCAACAAGTCTGGGGTGCTTGTGGTATTCTTTGGTAAGTTGCCGGGTTGTTTCTTTGCTTCTTACTTCGCTTGTTTGTTCGCTTGTTTGTCTGTTTGTTTGTATGTTTGTTCGTTTGCTTGCCTGCCTGCCTGCCTGCCTGCCTGCTTGGCTGCCCGCTTGCTTGCTTGATTGCTTGCTTGCTTGCTTGCTTGCTTGCTACTTGTTTGATCATCTCTGTCTCTCTCTCTCTCTCTCTCTCTCTGTTTCTGTTGCCCGGTGGTTGCGGCGTACTTGCTTGTTTGCTTGCGTCATGTCAGGCCTGCACGTTACCAGGAACCAACGGGCTCCGGTGTTTCTTGTTGGAATCACATATCTTGAAATCACGCCTCAAGGGTCCCGGTGCTTTTTTGTGAAATCCCGCCAAGTCGTGATTTAAAACGGAAAACACTAGGATCCCCAGGCGTGATTTAAAAACCAAATACACGAGGGCCCAGAGGCGTGAATTCAAAAAAGACACCAGGACTGTGGTGTTTGTTTCCTTGGAATCACCAGTCGCTCACGCACATGCTTGCCCGCTTCGCCTGTGAAAAAGAACACGCCAAAATGAGAATCCAAAATGCGGAAATTAAACTGCTGTATGGGTCAAAATCCCATACCCCCAGTGAACATCCCAATCCAACCACTAAAACAGGAAACCTAAAATGGGTGGTGAATTCACCTACCAACCAAAATGGGATCAACCACAACGGTTTTGACAACCACTGCCATCAAAAAAGAAAAAAAAACAGACCCGTTCCGAAGTCCAACGCCACGGGCAGCTCAACTGCAGCTCAGGTGCGGTGCGCTGGATCAGCCCAGTGACGATCTCCATCTGACCTCAGCCGAAAGGCCCTGCTACCTTCCCCTCCATCCCTTTGGTTCAGGGCTGTGGGAAATGGAATCCACTTCTGTGATACAGAGCCGGGAATGAACCCCTTGATTCCACAACCCTGCTTTGGTTTCAATTTGGCTCCCTAAGAATCACTCAACACAAATGTACCACCTCAAAAGGAAGACACACCCGGGGGGGGGGGGGGAAAAAAAAACTCCTCCGTTGATTCCCCCAGATCCCACCGCAAGAATACGAAAACCCCATGCCATTGGCGATCACAGTCGCCATCCATGGAGGCCATCTGCGACTGCATGGCGGACACGGAGGAGAACTGCTTCGTCAGATCCTTCCTGAGTTGGGTGTGGGTCAAGATTTGGTAACCCCGAAATGCATTGGATAAATGACCGGATTCTGCGACTTGCGCTTGCCGCTCCAGCCGCCCCACATCGCACTCTGCTGGGCAGGGCTGTCCGCTTGTTTAGATGTTGGACATGTGCGCTCCCAGGTGCGCCGACAAGCTATCGACTGTAGCGATAAGACCGCTGAACATGATGAATACATGTCTGTTCATGCGCGCTTGCGCACATATCTGTTTCTGACTTCGGGAACGCACACACCCCAGGCAGAGGCCTGTCATCCATCAGACATCCTCAGAGACATTACCCAAGACAACCGCAACGACATCCCCAAAAGGATTTTCCCCAAAGACATCGCCCTGAAGACATGACACATTCCAAAGTTGCAAGCCAAGAAAACCAACCCACAGACCTAGACGCTTTCCACAGACATCCCCTAACTCCCGAAGCACCGCGCCGGCCACGAAATTCAAACCAAAGGCTCTAAAGTGCGGCGTCTGTCACGCAAAGCGCACGGCGACGCGAGCACACGACTTGCACACTGCGCCTGCGCGGCGAAGCGACACACGACGCTGCAAAAAAAAGACGAGTCACGCACAGGCGCAACGAATTCAGCGCTTCAGGAGGCACGCTTTGCGGGAATCTCAACGGCATGGCGAGCTCGACACTCGCGGACACGTCGCGGACAGGTCGCGCACCCTGCGCGAACGCTTCGCGAACGCTTCGCGAACGCTTCGCGAACGGTTGCGAACGTAAACGCGCATATTCTTGGTCACGTCCCAACCCCCAGACCCCCAACCTCTAAACGGGACCCTTCTACGCGTGGCTGTTCCAATGGCGCTGGCGCCAGTTTGGGGGGGGGGATCCGGTGTTCGAAAGGTTTGGGCTTGCTTCCTCTCACCAAAAAGCTGCACTCAACGGAAGCACAATGGCTACTTGGCCGACATCCTAGCAACTGGGTCGACTGGCCGAATGTTGCTTACCATTCTCAGAAGGGGTCGGGCCGGTGGCCACGGAAAAGAGCACCGACATTTTTTGGGGGGGTCGTTCATTTGACACGAGGTGGGTTCCCCTCCGGAAAAAAAACGGGCGGGGGGGGGGGGGGGTTCCCCTCCGGAGAAAACAAACAACAACAACAAAAGCAAAAAACAGTTTGGTCTAATGCCGGCTGAAGTTTCAGCTTCTGCTCGGAGCCGTCCAAGGTCCAGCACACCGACTTCACGTCTTCCTGCGAGAAGGTTGTTGTTGGGTCTGGGTCAAAATGGAACCACCAGGGGACCACAGGTTTTAGTTCATGTTTCCATTTACTGGGGCTCCATTTTGGGCACCTATTTTTGACCCACAGCCATATATGGGGGTACCCTTTACCAGGGTTCCAATTGGAGTACCCTTTTTTTTTACCCACACCCTGTTGTTGAGCGGGCGACCATGAAAGGGCGCAAAGACTTTCTAGGGAACAACGGGCCCACCCCCTCATCCCAGGGTTGCACAAAAAAACACGCCTCTGCTCCCCAGTGAAGCAGTTTAAACAATAGCTGCTTGAACCATGGTTAAACAGGGAGTGGGCCCGAGCGAAGCATTCGCAAGCACAACCTTCCCGACCAGAGAGACAGAGAGAGAGAGAGAGAAAGAGAGAGAGAGAGAGAGAGAGAGAGAGAGAGAGAGAGAGAGAGAGAGAGAGAGAGAGAAAGAGAGCGGGTCCCAGCAACAGAAAACATTTGGTTGCCGTCCTGTTGGTTGTCCTCTCAAACCAGTGCCAAAATCGAAATCGGGCTTCCCAACTCAAAAAGGACAAGCACCTTCTTTTTGTAGCGGAAACTGGGGTGAAATCTGCAACAGCCAGGCGCCCTTAAAGCCCAAACAACTACACAAAGGTTTTGACATTTCGCTCAGCTTTTCCCACCTCTGCCTGGGGACTCGCAAAAAAGATCGGAGTTTCCGTCTCCCGAAGCTGCCAAAAAAAAGAAAGAACCAAAGCGCCTCCAACGAGCCCAGCTTCCGGCTGCCTTGCGATCTGGATCGGTCGATCGATCCATTTCGGGATCATTGCGTCGTTCAGGTTGCTTCCTGATCCGCTACATCAACCCGCCTTTCATTCCTCATGTGTTTTTCTCTTGGCTCTCAGTGGTGACGTTCATGCGTGAAGGGATGGGGTTTCCGCTTGACATCAGGGACGCCGCATTTTCCAGCAGAAACCACAGACACCTCGAATCCCTCGGTGTTTGGGGGGCTGAAAAAGG